TTTTTCGAAGAAGCTACTTTTTCATCATTATCAATAAGACCGTCAACAAAATCCCATCATAACTGATGTTTAGGGCAACTGTGCCAGCCGCAACGGTCATAAATAAGGTATCGAATTTTAGGCCAGTAGCAAAAATCGCAGATTTTGGTCATAAATAGGGTAAGGGTTTTGGGAAGTGGGCCACATACCCACACCCAACTTTTCTGGGAGTACCCCACGAGGTCCAAAGTATATTAGTGACCTTTTTAACCTGAGCACATCTGGTTATGCCCTAAGAAATGCTGACTTTATTGTTTCGAGATTTAACACTGTGGATTTTGGTAGACACAGCATTAGATATTTAGGATCAGTTCTTTGGTCAAAACTGAGTAAGGACGTCAGAAGATCGGATACACTACAAGCTTTTAACAATAAAATTAGACGAATAGATCTTAGTACTGTGATTTAATTAATGAACGCTGCTCGTGCATGCTTTGTGAGAGCTGACACATTAATTTTTTAATTTGATAATTTTTTTAGAGTATTCTCAATGCTTTTTACATTGTATTTTAACTTCTTATTATATTTGAAATTACCGTAGTTCTAATGAGTATATTTTTAGGTAATTCTTATGGTATATATTTTGAATTTCCAATTTTAATATACTGTTAGGAGCTAGATCCTCAACTGACACATAAATAAAGTATCTTCTTCTTCTTCTTCTGAATCGGGCTTCGGTCGCGTGTACAATTAATTAATTCTAAAGGAAATGCTGTTTCCCCGAGAATTCACTTAGCGCGCTTTTGCGAGGATCAATATTTTGAAGGATTAGGCGTTACATCTCATTTAACTAAAACGATTACCTTGAAGTCACGAACATAAAACATCATACGCTAATTTGCATGTGATTTAAAAGAGCTTAAGCGATAGCCGAAAGCATTCTGCAAAAGCATGACCAAGGATGGTTGCTTTTTTCAAGTTTGTTGCCTGCAGCTCCTTTTTCAGAATACAACCTTGTTTAATTTGTTTTGTTTTTCTTTTTTAACTTTTATAACTATCATTTGGTATTTTCTTCAAGTTATTTCGTACATTAGGAAAATGACTTTAAGATATCGTGACACACGAGTGTCCGAGGAACTCTGGCCGAATGATAAATTTTGTTTTTGCGACTCACGGGCGCTTCTCACATTTCAATAAGAAAGACAAAACCCTTGCAGAGTATTCCTTATCTTGCATGAGTTCTGAATAAAATAAATGTCCGTTTTGGTTTACAACCAGCCAATAAAAAATCAATCTGGGAAAAAAAATGGTATCAGAGAATCAGAGTACATAAGCCATTTAAATGAAACTGACAAAAGTTCAATTGAGGCTTTAAACTACTGTAAAACTACTGCAAAATTGATGTTAAAACCTTTTAAAAAAATCCAAGCTTTCGCCGATCTGCGTCATCATCAGGGATAAGGACCGATAAGAAAAATATTTCGGGTAAGGGCTACATACAGATGTAAAGTAATGTATTCTAATAACTTATTTTACATCTGTACATAAGCCTTAACTACGCGGAATATTTCTCTTATCCCTGATGATATCCCTGATGATGCTGTAGATCGGCGAAAGCTTGGATTTTTTTAAAGGTTTTTTAAACCTTCTGACAAAAATTCAATTGAGGCCTTAAACTACTGTAAAACTACTGCAAAATTGATGTTTTAGTGAATTTTTGTCAGTTTCATTTAAAATGCTACTGTACAACATCGACATCATCGAACGATTGTAAGCCCTTTAGTTCTATAACTTGCAGCCAATCAGCAGTGTCTATTTCAAGAGGCGAATTCATTCCTTTGTCTCACTCACGATTGGTTGATTACGGCACGTGACTTAGTCTGTGGCCGCTGGCACGCAAAAGGCGTTCATGTTGATTCTATCAAAGTGGAACGGTTTGCACTAAATTTGGCCTTCCTTCGGGACTAGTACAGGGGAATTTTCATCTGTGGGCCCGAAGACCGTTAAAAATAAGTTTTCGTTTTACTTTCTGTTTTTTTGATTCACGCAGTCGGACGGCAGAAAACGGCGAATCATGCCAGTTCGCAAGGAAGGTAGGTCGACTGTGTTCGATTTCACGCAGAGTTTTGCAAGCTGCGGTGATCACTAAACCCATGTTATCGCTTCTGTGTGATGATTCTAATGAAATTCAAATATCATTCTTTCAGATGCAGGCAAGGCTCTTGAGCTGTTGGAGCGCTATTATGAAAAGTTAAACAAGCCACAAGATCGAGCGCTCCGCACTGCCATCGAAAGAGTAATTCGGATATTCCAAAGTCATCTATTCTTGGCCCTTCTAGGTGAGGGTCGGTCGATGTTTGCATTTTTGAGTGTTCTATTCAGTGGAGAGAACTATTTAGTGATATCTTCTCTAAAATAAAATTTCAAGGTTTAATCTTGGTTTGAATTTATGTTGCCTTGACAATCTAGAATTAGCAAATGATCGGCAAGATAAAGTCGATAAACGCTCATTGTGTAATATAATTTTGAAGTTTCGCGTTTGTGATATTTCTTCAGCCCCTCGCTGTTATGTTTTCAAACTGTACGATTTCTACTATCCAAACTTCAGATATACAAGAGTTCTACGAAACCACGTTGTTAGATGATACCAAAACACCCGAACAGAAGGCAGAAGAAACGGAAGAAGCCGTACAAAGATGGGCGAACAATTCGCCGCCAGTGGAATCTCCTCCACCGAGCTACTCGGACTTTGACAAGGCAAGTTCTGGCAATTTCACATACATTTTAGAACGTTTTTATGTAGGTCGTCACATTTTTAGTTGGCAGTTGTCAGGAAATCAGATAATGTGTGGTTGAAACTTCGAAATAGCTATTAGTAACATTTGGAACTTGAAGACGTGGTTGTCAACTACATGAACAGGTACGAATGAAGTTAATAAACCGCGAGTATGCAGCCGTTAAAATAACTACATGGCCTTGCGTGTATCTGGGTCCGAAATATTGGTCATTTCATGGAGAATAGACAGTACACTGTCGTTTTAAAGATATTGTGAAATTTTCGGATCGCCGCTGTTGTTTATAAATCACAAATTACCCGCAATCAGTTCAGTTGAAGTTAGTTTTTATTACAACTCCAGTAAGGCTAATTTCAGAATTTTCGTAGCATTGCCAGATGGGATAATTAAGCTTTCTGTTGTCTCGGATGTACCAACAAAACAAAGCAAACTATTCTAATGAGTCCATTGCTACATTATAATTTCAAAATCTGTGATCTAGTCATTCTATCAAAATTTGGTTGTGAATACCCAGAAACCAGACATTCAAATTTAATGCAAGTTTTCCTGCTATACGATACAGTCGTTTGTTTAAAAGATAAATTTGAATTATTTCGATGTTTGCACCAACCTACCTGTAGATAAGCCTATTACTACAATGCTGTAAAAATCAATGTTTTTGTACATTTTAAATTTTTTCAGACCCGTCCAGGATAACAATTTAAAATTTTAAAATATACTTTCCAAATTTAAGATATTGGCAGCATTTTTTTTTTAATTTCGTGTATTGATCTGGAATGGTGACATAAAGGTCATGCAGTATGCATATGATTTGTTTCTTTGCACTGGTTGTTGACAGAGTAACAGGAAGTTTGCAAATATGATACAGAAACAGTTCAAGACAACCCTTGTCATGCCCGAGCTGTTCTAGGATATCCATAATAAACTGGCTTTTTCGCAGCTAAGGCTTAGTTGTTCAAAAGGTGGATAACACTGTCCTCGCAATGCAAAGAAAACGAATTTTCTGGAATGTCCCATGGACAAACTGGAAGGAGACTGACTTGACTGTTTATTAACTTAAAATTGATATAAAGGTGAACAAACCACCTTAACGGGTTTGTGAAGCTGAAGTTTCAAGCATTAGCCCTTTGTTAGAGCAAAGTGAAAAAGGGTTTATGTGCAAAATGTCACCTTCACAAACTTGCTACCACAGTGAATTTACCTTTATCAAGTTGAAGTCAATAAATGCTAAGGGCTTCTCTTTCCCACACACAAAGCTCAATGGTTGCTTTAGAAATGCCTGCAAATCATCTGAAGTCATTTGCCCTAAAAGATATTCTCTCTAGCACAATTTGGCAGTGAAATCTGGACTTAAAATATTAATTCAATCTGTTATCTTATGTCTGTAATTTGAATTTTCAGTCTTACATCACTCTCCCATCTTTCCTTTAGTCATTGGAGATAGCATCATCCATCAACTTTTCCGCCAGAGCACGCCATTGCAGGAATCCC